GCAAGAGAAACTGAAGAACATACACAAACTCATGGAGATTAAATAACACACTCTTGAATGATGAATAGGTCACTGACCTATCATCAAGAAGGAAATCAAACATTCCTAGAATTGAATGAAAATGAAAACACAACACTCCAAAAGCTCTACTTTTGGAAAAGAGTATGAAATGAAAATAGTACTAATCTGAGAGCTCATAGTTATAAGTGCCTACATGAAAAAAAAAATCAGCAAGATCTTATTAACTTAATGATGCACTTTAGGGTGCATACAAAGAACATACAAAAATCAAAGTAGAAGGAAAGAAATAAGAACAAACATTTATTTTTTTTTAAAAAAAGATAAGGGCTGGAGAGATGGTTCAGTGGTTAAGAACACTGGTGGTTCTTGCAGAAGACCCAGGTTTGAATGCCAGCATCCACATGGCAGCTAACAACTATCCATAACTCCAGTCCCAGGGGATCCGACAGCCTTTTCTGAATTCTGCTGGCATTGCATGTCATGGGTGCACTTGCCTACATGCAGGCAATACACACATACACATAAAAAATAAAAATTAAGAAAAAAAAAGACAAGAATCATTACAAAGAATCAATGAGGGCCTAGAAAAAGAATGACTCAACAGGTAAAGACATTTGCTGCCACATTTGCCTACTTGAATCCAATCTCCAGACATACACGGAAGGAGAGAACTGACTCCTGCCAGTTGTCCTCTGGCCTCCACACACATGGCATGGCACACACACACATGCACACACACACGCTCACACACACACACAAATAAACAAATGTTATAAAAAAATTTTAAAAAGAAATCAATGAGAGGCTGGAGGGATGACTCAGCAGTTAGGAGCACTGACTGCTCTTACAGAGGACCTGGGTTCAATTCCCAGCACCCACATGGTGGCTATGAATCATCCTTAACTCCAGTTCCAGGGGAATCCGAAGCCCTCTTCTGACCTCCTTGGCATTGCATGACACGGGTGCACTCACATACATGTAGGCGATACACTCATACACATGAAATAAAAATAATAAATAAAATATATTTTTAAAAAATCAATGAAACAGAGTTGATTCTTTGAAAAACAAACAATATCAACAAATCAGAGCGCCAAACTAACTAAAAGAGAATACCCACATTTAAAAAATTAGAGGTGAATGACATGATGACAGCAATAAAATTCAGAAATTAGGCCATACCTTAAAAACTTATATTTCAATAAATTAGAAAATCCAAAAGAAACAGATGAATTTCTAGATGCATATGGCCTACTAAAATTAAACCAAGATGAACTAAATAATTTAAACAGATCTAAACAAGCAATGAGATTGAAGCAGTGATTTAAATGTCTCCCAAATAAAAAAGTCCAGGCCCAAATAAATTCACTGCTAAATTTTAACAAACCAACCAACCAAACAAACAAAAATGTTTCCATAAAATAGGAAAGAAAGGAAGGAACACTACCAAATTCTTTTATGAAGCTAGTATTACTCTGGAACCAAAACTAGATAAAGACAGAACAAAAAATTATAGACCAAGTTCCCTGATGAACACAGATGCAAAAAATGCACAACAAAATACTTAAAAACCAAATTCAAAAAACATATCGAAAAGATTGCTCACAATGATCCGCTTGACTTTATTCTGGACATGTACTGATGGTTCAATATAAGCATATTAAGAACTGTAATATAACCAGGTGTGATGATGACACCTTTGATCCCAGCACTCAGGAGGCAGAGGCAGGCAGATCTCTGTGAGTTCAAGGCCAGCCTGGTCTACATAGTGAGTTCCAGTCCAGCTGGGGCTACAGGGAGACCCTGTCTCAAAAAAAAAAAAAATCTAATATCACTTCATGACATAAGTCCTTGAAGAGTTCTGCTTCCTTGCCTGCTTGAAGATGTGAGCCTGTTTTCTGCTCCTGCTCTGGTCACCTCCAGCCACCATGCCTTCCTGCCATGACAGACTAATCCCCCTGGACCGTAAGCTCAAATAAACTCTTCATTTTATAAGTTCCCTTGGTCATGGTGTTTTATCACAGCAACAGAAAAATTAACTAACACAAAAATTTGTACCAGAAGCCAGGCGTGGTGGCGCACACATTTAGTCCCAGCACTCTGGAGGCAGAGGCAGGGAGAGCTCTGTGAGTTCAGCCTGTTCTACATAGCAAGCTCCAACCCAGCTGAAGCTACAGAGAAACCCTGTCTCAAAAAGATTAAAAAAAAATTTTTTTTGTACCAGAGAGTGGGCTGTTGGCTGTGAAGAACCTGACGATGTAGGTTTTGGGAGGAATATGGAAAACTTTGGAAGTTTGGGTCAGAAAAGTAGTTAACAGCTGTAAGCAGAGCTTAATAGGCCATTCTAGTAGGAGCCTGGAAGAAAGTAGTGCTGAGAACAATGTAGTTATAGAGGGAAATAAGAACTTAAGCAGCAATTGGGATATTTTGGCAAAGGCTCTGGCTGGAGTCTATCCATAGTCAAAAAGTTTGCCTGAGGCTAAGTTGAAAAGCAATGGACTAACTTCTGCAGTGAAGGATATTTCTAGAGAGCCTAACATAGAAGTGGTGGCATGCTGTTACTGGTGAATATTATGCACATCTACAGTGAAAAAGAACAAATGGGGCAGAAAGAAATGCAGAATGTACAGTTTGAATTGAAAAAGAGCACTAGGAAGATTAATGCTGGAGCCCAGGCATGTGTTATAGAAGAGGATCCCTTTGATAAGGAAAGGAAAGTACCTACGAGTTTTTAATCCTATACCTAGTGGAAAAATTCATAAAAATGAAAGCATTCAATATCAAGGGTTGGCAAGAATATGAAGAAACTAGAATTTGAGTCAAGTGTGGTACATAATTCTAGCACTTGGGAGGATGAGGCAGGAGGATTATATGTTTGAGGACAGCATGTCCTAAGTAGTAAGTTACATGTCCTAGCTTGAATTACATAGCAAGATCCTGTCTTGAAAGAAAGAAAGAAAGAAAGAAAGAAAGAAAGAAAGAAAGAAAGAAAGAAAGAAAGAGAAAGAAAGAAAGAAAAGAATGTAGTGGGCTGTAGAGATGGCTCAGTGGTTAACAGTCCTGCTCTTCCAAAGGACCTAAGTTGGGCTCCAGCATCCATGTTGGGCAGCTCATGACTGCCTAGAACTCCAGCTTGAGGCGATCTGATACCTTCCCCTGGCTTCCATGGGCACAGACACACAATATACACATACATAAAAATAAATCTTTTTTTATTGGTCTTTTTGAGGCAGGGTCTCCTTGTAGTGGGGCTGGCCTAGAACTTGCTATGTAGACCAGGCTGGCCTTGAACTCACAGAGATCTGCCTGCCTCTGCCTCCTGAGTGCTGGGATTAAAGGTATGCACCACCACACTCAGCTAAAATAAATATTTTTTTTAAAAAATTTAAAGGAAAAAAATTTTAAAGACACCATGATGAACCCATTCCTTTGTTATGTGCTAACCCAAAAAGCTAACATATATATTGTATACACACACACAGGTAGATATGAAACTAGGACTCTAGTAGTCTACTGAAAATATAGTCAACTTGAAGAAGTTTGGCAGTCTTTTAAAAAATTAAACATATGCCAGGCCTGGTTGTGCATGCCTTTAATCCCAGTATTCAGGAAGCAAAGGCAGGTAGAGCTCTAAATTCAAGGCCAGCCTGGTCTACATAGCGACTTCCAGATCAGCCCCACTTCAAGGAGATCCTGTCTCAAAAAGACCAAAAGAAAAAAAAAGAGACATATATTTATATGACTCAGTAATTCAAGTTCGTGGTATCTACCCAGGAGAAATTAAATCATATGTCCACATAAAACCTTGAACATAAATGTTTACAAGATCTCTATTCATATAAGTGTCATATGCTAACCAATTGCAACTCTGGAGCAAAAACTTTCTTTGTAATGGGCAGAAACCAAAATAACTCCAGCAACAGATAAATGGGTAAAACTGCAGCATACTCATACAATGGAACATCTCTCAGTAACAAAAGGAAAAGACAACTTATGCAAGAAGGCACATTAACTAGCTTTCTGTCACTGTAACAAAATAACCGAGTCAATTAACTTTCTAAAAGTTTATTTGGGGGCATAGTGTGCTGAGTCATGTTTGTAATACTAGCACGTGAGCTGCTGAGGCAGGACTGTCACAAGTTTGAGGCCAGCCTAGGCTAAACTGTGACTTTCAAACCAGCCTGGCCTGAAAGTTTAATTTGACTCACACTTCTAAAGGTTCTAGTCTAAAAATGAGTGGCCCCATTTTTTTTATATTTTATTATTTTTATTTTTCATGTGTATGAGTGTATTGTCTGCATGTATGTGAGTGCACCCATGTCATGCAGTGCTGCAGAGGTCAGAAGAGGGCTTCAGATTTCCCTGGAACTGGAGTTAAGGACTGGTCATAGCTGCCATGTGGGTGCTGGGAATTGAACCCAGGCCCTCTGCAAGAGCAGCCAGTGCTCTTAACCGCTGAGCCACCTTTCCAGCTGCAAGCCCCATATTTTTTAGGCAAAGAAGTGGCTGCTCCATTTCTCTGTGCAGTAGCATGTGGCAGAACAAGCACACTTACATCAGGGACCAGGAAGCCAAGAGAAGAGACGTGGGCCCCACAACCCCTTTTGAGGGCATGACCTGATGACCTAAGGACATCCCATCTCCTAAAGGCTCCATCACCCCCAATAATGCCACCATCAGGCAGGAGCAAGCTTTTCACATGTGCATCTCTGAGGGTTACTTCCTAAAACCATTACATACAAGCACATAAGTGAATCTCAAAACGAGATGCTAAATGGAAAAAAGATTAGCTATTCATATTACTACCCTATGCTAACATGAACTGCTTTTCTCCAGCAAGCCTTCCTATATCTAGGACATTTGTGGATGTCCTTGAACTCTTGCCAAAGACATGGACCATGGAAGCAACATGAAGTTCCGCGGACTGTGATGAGCTGTTTTGGTGCTAACCATCCAACCAGAAAATATGTAACCAATACCTGTAATAGTTTATGCTCCTTTTGAAGGTCTTTTATTTTATTCTCTTGCTGGAAAACCCTATTTAGGGACTCGTCTTTCAATACACCAATTTTGGCTTTCATGCTTTCCATAATTTCTTCCAAGTCATTAGCTCGTTTTTCCTGGTGCGATGCTCGGTTTTGCTCTAGCTGAAGTTCATTTCTAATTTAATAGACACAATTTCTCCCCTTAGTGTTAAAAATAAATCAGATCACACATACCCATTCAACAACTTACTTTCTAAATTTTCTTAATATTTCTTTATTTTATTTTGGTGCTGAGAATCAAACCTACAGCTTCAAGCACAATTAACCAGTGTTGCGCCACAAAGCTATACCCCAGTCCCCATTTCTAGCTTATAACCGAAATAGAAGAAACAGAGGCCATCAATACATATTTATTCTAAGTGTTACAAAAGAGGCATCTAGTAAAATGTACCTATTTACCTATAAAAATATTTTTAAAGTTATAACATTTAATGAAAATGAAAATTAAATTTCAGGATCCTTTGCCAGGGACTTACTTCCAGAATGCATACAAGCAATACAAAGGACTTTCTTACTTAAGGTGCTGATTAGTTTCTATGAGCTCCCGTATCATGCTCTGTTGACACGCTGTTTCTTCCATCAACACTTTCAAATTCTGCCTCATTCTTTGTGATGATTGTTTGTCAAAAATGATGAGATCTCCATTTTAAAAAATATACATAGTAAGAATAAAGGTAAAAACATTTTAAGATTAAAACATTTTAAAGAAAAATAAGCTTTTTACTCAACAGAGCAAGAATCTAATTACCTTTAATATCAGTTCTTTTGACTAGACACAAAGGTTTTAAGCCATGCGCCATTAGCAACACGTTTATACTTTCCCATTCTGCTTCTTCCTGCTACAATTACAAGGAGAGAGAAAAGGATCAACTCCAAGATATGAAGATAAACCATCCCATATGATTTCCTGTTTTCAGAACAGAACTTTTTTTCCATAACTTATTGTTTTTTTAAGATTTCTTTTAAATTGAGTGTGAGAGAGTGTGTGCAGGTACCCACAGAGACCAGAAGAGGTCATCAGAGCCCCTGAAGCTGGAGTTACAGGTAGTTGTGAGCCATATAGCATGGTTGCTAGGGAACTGAATTGAGTCTTCTGGAAAAGTAAGCAAGCATTCTTAACCATTAAGTCATCTCTACAGCTCTCAAAAGGTTTTTCTAAATATGAACTTTTACAAATCCAATTAAGATTAAAACTGATTGTTTCTAGTAAAATCAGCAATAAAATAAATAAATTATTGAATTATATAAATAAATTATTGAAGTATATAACATATTCATATTGTAGGCCTTAATGGATAGATCAAAATTAAAAAACAGTAAGTAAGCAACTTGTAGTTTCAATAAAACTGATAAATTTAATTGAGTCAGACCAGGCCATATTCAGAGGAAAGAGCTTTTTAAAAACTAGTTAAAACTAATTATTAAGAAACAAGTGTTTCACCATATGATGAATTATATAGTTTTTTTCTATTACTTAAACTGACAAATATAAGCCATATATTATTCTGTGTCCAGTATACTTTTTAAAAGTCTAAACCTGAAATGCCCACAGGCCTGATTTTGTGCCAAAACACTAGAAGTGAACTGGAAGACACCATAACGCATCCTAAAGCATTACTTGGATCTTCAAACCAGAAAATGTTTATTTCAAACATGGACGTTTTCTGTTCTTGCCACTTACCCTAACTCAATACACACACACACACACACACACACACACACACACACACACAATATTTTACATACACTGCTCTTTTTTAGGTATATTGAGAAAATGTTAAATAGGAAAGATTAAGTTGTTTCAATTTTTTTTTTTTTTTTTTTGTGAGACCCCCTCGCTGTACCCCTCGCTCTCCTAGAACTCACTATGAAGTCGAGGAGGGCCGTGAACTCACAGAGCCCCGCCTGCCTCTGCCTCCCGAGTGCTAGAATTAAAGGCGTGTGCCACCATGCCTGGCCCTGCTTCAAATTTTTAATTGAGTATAAAAATGAAAAGAATTTAAAGGGTATGGGGAGATGCTTCTATTGTTAAAGTGCTTGCCTTGGAAACATTAAGGACCTGAGTTCAATCCCTAGAACACACTTTTTTTTGTTTGTTTGTTTTTTCTTTTTTTAAAGCCAAATGTGGTGAAACATATTTGTAATTCAGCTTTGGGGAGGCAGAGGCAGGGGGATTACTGGAACTTGCTAGCCTGCCAGCCTAGCCCAACGAATGAGCCTCAGGCCAGTAAGAGATGCCTTCTCAAAAAATAAAGTCAACAGCATTCCTCAGGGATAACACTCAAAGTTGTCCCGAGTTCCACATGTACAGGTGTGTGTACACACACATATACCAAATAATTTCAAAATATTTTAGAACAAGGGATAAAGATGTGAGCAATATGCAGAGTAGTCAAGACTAAAGTATATTGTCTTTACTATCAGTATGAATTCTTTTTTCCCTGTGACAATTTATCATTCAGCTTCATAGAAATTTCTGAACTGAAAAACTGTCTTTTTGAAGTTGTTTTGGTGTATGTCTTTCTAGTTGGATTATTTCTTGCCAGATTTTTTTCTTTTCTTTTTGGTCTTTATGAGACCTGTACCCCTAGCTGGCCTGGAACTATGTAGACCAGGCTGGCCTTGAACTCACCTATATCTCCTGCCTCTGACTCCTGAGTGCTGGGATTAAAGGTGAGCGCCACCACACCTGGCCTTGCCAGATTTCTAAGTCTGGGGTTTTTCTTGGTATTTTATATTTAATAGTTTAGGCTAACATTTTGTTAAATTACAAGCAATTATAAAAAATTATATTCCCAAAGAAAAACTGTAACAAGATTATTTTTCCAGTGTTTTAAATACATGGAAAAGATATTACTAGACTTAACAAAAAAAAAAAAGAAAGAAGTGTTTCTTTAAAGTTTTATTTTTCTGTGTATATACAATACATTACATCTGACACCTTTTGTATCTTTGCGTAGGAGCACACATGTGTACAAGTGTGTGCATGCACAGGCTAGAGGAGGACATCGGTGTTCTGCTCTATCATGCTCTACCTTATTCCCTTGACATTCAGCCTCTCACTGAACCTGGTCCCCCACCCCTTGTAGCGCCCACCATGCAGGGTTTTGGAGATTTGAATGCAACAGTCTCCATAATCAAGCCATCTCTCAAGCCCCATCTTATATCTTAAGAGAAAGAATAAAGTAAGTGCTCATAAATACTGAAAATAGGGGTCTAGAGAGGTGGCTCAGCGATTAAAACCACATACTGCTCTTACAGAGGACCCAAGATCACGTCCCAGCACCCCAGTCAGGCAGCTCACAACTGTCTCTAGCTCTAGTTTTCGTGGGATCTGATCCCTCTGGCCTCTCATACACACACAGGTGCACACATGCATGCATGCATGCACATGCTACCATGCACGTGCACACACAAAAACAATAAAATAGGGGCTGGAGAGATGGCTCAGTGGTTAAGAGCACCGACTGTTCTTGCAGAGGACCCGGGTTCGATTCCCAGCACCCACATGGCAGCTATAAACTGTCCTTAACTCCAGTTCCAGGGGAATCCGAAGCCCTCTTCTGACCTCCGCAAGACACGGGTACACTCACATACATGCAGGCAATACACTCATACACATAAAATAAAAATAATTAAAAAAAAAAAAACCAACAATAAAATAGCCCTGGGCTACAAAGCCTCCGGAGTCCTGGTGCCAGCACCTTTCCTGGGTAAGTCCAGTGGTGGCCACTGTGCCTTGACAACCCCCCAGCCTCTTTCACCCTCCCAGAACCCCCCGCCCCATCTCTCCTCCTGACCTGGGTACTGCCCCATTTCTTGTTTTGGCACCCTAGACACAGGGGCTGACCTCTCCCCCAGAGCCATCACTGCTTCCTGATCCTTTGCATCCAGACCAACCCAGTTCCTCCCTGTGATCCCCAGGAGCCCTCTGGTCCTGGTCCCACCCCCATCTACCTTTGCTTCCCTGGACAGTTCAGCCAGCTTCCTGGTGCTAGCATTTTGCCTGGGTGGGTCCCGCAGCCTACACGCCTTGACTCCCCCAGACTCATTCACCCTCCCAGCCTAGGTACTGACCCAGTTTTTCTCTTGGAACCACAGACTGGACTGACCTCTCCTGGACTGACCTCTAGGCCCAGAAATCCCCACTGCTTCCTGATCCATTGCATCCAGACCAACCCAATCCCTCCCTGCTGTCCCCAGGAACCCTCTGGACCTGGTCCCACCCTCACCTCCCTTTGCTTACCTGGGCTGCAGAGCCTCCAGCGTCCTGGTGCCAGCACCTTTCCTGGGTAAGTCCAGCAGCAGCGCTCACCATGCCTTGACCCCCAGCCTCTTTCACCCTCCCAGATCCCCTGGCCCATCTCTCCTCCTAGCCTGGGTACTGGCCCATTTCTTGTCTTGGCACCCCAGACACCAGGGCTGACCTCTTGGCCCAGAATCCCCACTGCTTCCTGATCCTTTGCATCCAGACCTACCTAGTTCCTCCCAGTAGTCCCCAGGAGCCCTCGGGGCCTCTTCCAGAACCACCTCCCTTTGCATCCCTGTGTGGCACAGCCACCAACTTCCTGAGACCAGCATCTTTCCTGGGCCCTGCTCCCAGGCCAGCCCAGCCCCCAAATTCCTGAGGGCAGCATATTTCCTGGAGGGATCCAGACCTTAGGAGAAAGCCTGAGAGCATCTGATCCTCATCTGATTTGGGCCTCTGTGGGAACTCCTGAAGAAAGTTCAAATGGACCAAACAGACATCTATTGAATATTCCACCCAAGCACCAAAGAATATAATTTTTATTCATCGCCCCATGGAACCTTCTCGAAAATTGACCATATACTGGGGCACAAAACAAACCTTACCAAATACAAAAAGATTGAAATAATTCCATGCATTCTATCAAACCACAAGAAGCATACAGAACACCAAATAGACAGGACCAGAAAAGAAACTCTCCATGGCACATCATAAAGCTTAAAATCAACACCGGAAGAAACCCTAGTAACCACATGAACTAATGGAGATTAAACAACACACTCCTAAATGATGAATGGGTCAAAAGAGAAATTCAGAAAGAAATAAAAGTATTCCTGGAACTAAATGAAAAGGACAATACAACACAACAATACCTCTGGAA